CATATTTGAAGTAGTTCCAGCCTGTCCGATTATATCCGTCTGTGCTCATCTTCCTCGAATTCCTTCTCGCTTTCCCTTTTCACAATCAGAGTGTTCTGATCCACCGTGATTTTCCCTTGTCCTTGTCTACACCGGGCATGTCGATTCGAATGTACAGAGCGTCCTTATCTACCTTCACGTTCCATCCTCTCAGCGATCCAAAACCCATTCTACGAGGTGATGAGACAAAAGGGGTCTCCATCATCTGGTCCATTAGGTTCAGGACTTGGCTCAAGCTTCTTGTTGGAAAAATGGATCAAACACATCTACATCAAACAATATAGTTAATCACCTATTAAACTTCAAAAAATCTACCAAAAACTTTAGGAAAAAAAAAAAGCGATGAAGGTCAATTGATCGGAGAAATGGAACAAAGCATAAGTGATTGAAAATTATTCAGCAAATAAACTTTGGGAGAATTACATTCAGACTTCCTAAAATTTGTCACTTAATCACTCAGACCTCTTGACATTTGAAAATTATTCAACAAATGTTTTATTTTATTATTTATTAAAATAAAATAAAAAATAAAAAATTCAATTTTTTCTTAAAAAATCGTAATTAGGATACAATTATATTGTCTATTGGAATTTAATTTTGTCGTTTAAATAACCAAATTAAAATATTAAACTATCTCAATTAAAGCTAAAAAATATTGTGTATTTCCATTACAATTTGACCCCTTGTTTAATTTTTTATTTTTATTTTAATAAATAGTATAATTATATACAGTGATTTTTTTAAAACAATTAGATTTTTATTTTTAATTTTATTTCAATAAATGACATAATAAAACATGAATTTTAGATGTAAAATTTATGTTTTATTATGAATGACTTAGACGCTTTGTTTATTTTTTTTAGTTTTATTCTAGTAGATAGTATAATTGTATACTAATTACGATTTTTTTAAAAAAAATTAAATTTTTTAAATTTTATTTCAATAAATAATACAATAGAACATGAATTTTGGTTATAAAATTTAAAATATTTAATATTCTATTTTTTATTGGAGCATTTTTTGTCTAAATATAATATTTTAAACTTAAAAAATATAAGTATTATATACCTATAAACTTTAGAGGGCTTTAAGTGTAATTTATTAATGAATATATTTATAGGTTTAAGAGTTACGTGCGTACAAATCTTAAGAGGTTTGTGTATAATATTTTAAATGTCAAGGGTCTAAACGACAAACCTCTAGAGGTTTAGATATAATTCTCCCATAAGCTTTTGAATCAGACGTTTTTGCCTAACTGACGTTGATGCCCCCTCCACTAAAAACGTCATTCTAACTGACGTTTTTAGTTGTGGTATATGCATTTTATCTTCTCACAGAAAACTTAAATTGGTTTGACATTTTTGCATAAAAACGTTATTCCAACTGATATCTTTTGATATAAAAAACGTCATTTCAAATAATGTTTTTAAAAGTGTCTGAATTTGAAAAATGTTTTGAAAGCAATTATCTTTTGGGTATATTTTTGTACAATCCCATGAGTTGGGATAAAAGCTCAAAATTATTCACATCAACAGATTCAATTTATTTTGAATTTTATATTTCCAACAATTGAATCTATCGATCATGATCATTACAACATGAATTGGAGAACCATCGATCGTAACGAAACTATAGAGGACATGGTTCAACGTGATTTGCATAGAAAATAAAATAAGAAAACTTGAAATTCAGCGTCTCTCTTTTTTCTTCTTTTTTGCATAACGTGTTGGTGTGGAGGAAGAAAAAAAAATTGTCAAGAAAACAAAAAAGTAGAAACCTTAGCAACTTAGGATGGAGATGCACCACCAATCACATAAGAGTTAATTACTAAACTCTATGCTCATTAGCCAACATGAGTTGTTGTGTGTGAAAAATAACACCATACCAAGATTTAATTAGTATTTAAATGAAATATTAGTCAGCCTTCAAGTTACCAAACAACCATATTAATACGTCCTCTAGTCCAAATTGGTAAATAGACCTATGGATTTTCTAGTAAGTCTCCATCTTGTACGTTATTTTCCATTTTTTAAATATCAATTCCATCCCTACAAACTTAGCTAACACAAAAGCAAAGAAAAAAAATATCTCTTTAGCCCAACACTAACACATTGCACAACACCATATTCGCGTTCACCTTTGTTTTTACCTCTACCTCTACCCAACACCAACACATGCGCCCATGCACACACCTTTTTCAGGGGTAATTATGTCTTTTCAATAAAATAAAGATCACGTGAATTTGTCATGTTTAACTAGTGTTATGTTTTATGCTCTAAAATTAANGAAAAAAAATATCTCTTTAGCCCAACACTAACACATTGCACAACACCATAATCGCGTTCACTTTTGTTTTTACCTCTACCTCTACCTCTACCTCTACCCAACACCAACACATGCGCCCATGCACACACCTTTTTCAGGGGTAATTATGTCTTTTCAATAAAATATAGATCACGTGAATTTGTCATGTTTAACTAGTGTTATGTTTTATGCTCTAAAATTAATTGTTGGAGTTAAGTAGAAAACATTCAGACTTAAAAGAGACTATTTAAAATTTAAACCTGAAGGGGTGAATAATAAACTACTTAAAGTTGAAGGGCGTATGGATTTTGTAATTAACCCTAAGGAAAGTTGTCACTTTCACTGTCCCCCCACGAGCTAACGCTCATTTAATCCCAGCACTGTGGAGAATGACTGATGACTGATGCATGAAAAGGTTTCAAATTATCAGCAAAGCGTTGCAAATTATTGAGGAAGAATTGTCAAGTAACCAACGGTCATATTAGAGACAGTGACCCTGTTTCAAAGTGTTTTGCTATGTAGAGANGACTGATACATGAAAAGGTTTCAAATTATCAACAAAGCGTTGCAAATTATTGAGGAAGAATTTTCAAGTAGCCAACGGTCATATTAGAGACAGTGACCCTGTTTCAAAGTGTTTTGCTATGTAGAGATTGGAAAACCTGTGACTAATGAAAGATTCAAAAAATTACTAATCGACGAATTTAATTTTGACTTTTGTCAGAATTTGAAATTATTCAATTTGTACAGGTGCATCTAATGTTATGCTATAACTACAAATTCAAAAGTCTCGTGATTAAGACGGTATCATAAACCCATATTATTATAAAAATAATGAGGATTAAGTTGTTCAAATACGATTGGTATCTCCTATTATTACTTTGTTTGAGTTCTTTTTCACCTAAAACACATGAAAAGTAATATATAAAAATAACTNTCCAGGTGCATCTAATGTTATGCTATAACTACAAATTCAAAAGTCTCGTGATTAAGACGGTATCATAAATTCATATTATTATAAAAATAATAAGGATTAAGTTGTTCAAATACGATTGGTATCTCCTATTATTATTTTGTTTGAGTTCTTTTTCACCTAAAACACATGAAAAGTAATATATAAAAATAACTATGGATAATCCTCTAGTTTTCCTTTTTCCTTCTAAAAACCCCAAAGTGCCCAATTTCTTTAATTTTCGTAAAGGCAATTTTCAAAGCAAGTGGAAGACCTCCATAATGGAGTTTATGACCTAATTTTTTTAGTTTTTCAAATTTTGAATTGTTTTACTCATCCACCAGATGAGCAATGACATTTGTTAAACCCGTTGACTGTATCATAAAAGGGATTAATCGAGATGCACATAAATTAATCCAAATAGACAACATAAATTCAAAATCACACTACAATGTGGAACTTAAATGTACCACACTAAGCCAAATAAGGCTCCACTTTCCTCCAAAAAACTATCAAAAATGCATCATTGTCTTTCAAACAAAGACTTACGATTTTTAATTTTTCACGCTAAGCCTCGTAAGTCTTCGTCTCCCTACATGAACAAGGCCTTTTTCAAGGTAAGTTTAGGGTTGTACTAGTGATAGACTATATAAGTATTGTTTGCTTATATTGAGCATGGAAATTTTACTTTACTACTTTCATATTAATGAATGCGTGTCAATCAATATAAACACACAACAATTACATAGACCGCACAAATCAAAACTTTTTTCTAACATGCTTCAATAAGGAATTTAAATGTACCACACTAATGAAAAAGAAAGTTTTTTTTTGGTAGTTTTTTTTTTTTTTG